CGTGACGACCTTCGCAGCAGTAGCGAGAGGATCACAACGAAGCTTGGAACCACCGCAAAGATGCCTCGACTCCAGACGATCAAACAACCACAGAGAAAAGCTAGGCACCATCTAGAGCGAACGTGAGCAAGCTGGCGTGTATAGTGCATGGGACCTTGTTCCATCGTTGTCGTCGTGATGTCTTCGAGAGGAAGAAGAATGAGAGAAAAAGCTTTCTTGAGGCAACGGCGTTGTCATTTCCAACGAACTTTCTTGGTTTTGAGCCTCGTACCGTTTGAAATCAAAATCAAAATGAAAAACGATGACCGACTCGACTCAACTTCAAAATGAAACAACCCTAACGCGATCGGTTAAGGTACCGGTACCTTTCGACGTACCGGTATGGTACTGGTACTGGTACTGGTACGGAGGGAGCAAATCAAATCGCCGACGCGATGACAAACCTAATTTGGACGATAATGGTAGTTGTAGGTTTGCCCCAGTTCGGGTATCATTCCCAGGCACTTGCATGAAGACTTTCATGTCAAGTCCAGCAATCAATCAAAACATACCTTACTGGAGTCTTTTGGAGTCCAGCTAGCTGGAGCTTTGGAGCCGTATCTCTCGTTTGCATGAACTAAGTTTTTGCGTCGTGTTATGTGCTTGCACTCTGTAATGTTACCCCTCCTTCGATCAATCGTTCAATTGGTTGGAGGCCGCCCTGCAATACTGACGAGATTGATGCAATATCGATTTCCTTTTTCATCTGGCAGATTGTGTCCCAAATGTGTCCCTGTAATGGATACACATTCTCCCTCGGGACCTTCCAAACACCTGACAAAATCCCAGTTGACTTCGGCATCTCGAAAACTGGGCCATCCGTGGTCGTGACTTTCTTGAGTGAATTCTTGCAGTGATCGGCCTTGTGGTGCCGTGAATAGCAGGTTACCCGTGACACTATCGTAAAAGTCGTACACTTCGTCCTGTCGTTGTCGTTCTATCATGTTGAGCAAATTGGTGGCGGTTCCCTTGTATTCGGCATATCTTCGGTTGTAGTTGCAAATGCGATTGGCCGTCTCGAAATCCATACCCCATTTTAGGTCGTCTTGCACTGGCTTGTGTGACGTTCCATGCGCTTTGGGATTCATGATATCGTCTTCCTTGCCCAGAATGGGATATTGTTGTTGTTCCCAAAGAGACACCCGAACTCGAAGTAGTGCCGGACGCGTGGGAAGAAAGGATGCGTCGACGATGATGGGCGGCAAAGACACCAATGCTAGTGCCCAAACGGATGCGAGCGGTAGATTAGCGAGTGTCATCTTCTTGCAGTTCTGAAGATGTTGTATTGCAGTGACGGTGGTAGCAGGCTCAAACTAAACGCCTTATTTCTCGCTGCTTGCTTTCCCGGTGCTTCCCAGCTTCCCTTTTGTGGGTGTTGACACCACAAATCCATTCCATGGTCGACGTCACTGTTTGGAACACTTCCTGGGCCCTGTGTGCGTGCTGTAATCATTTCAGCCGCGCATGAAGCAAGTCTCGAACCTCCCAGACGAACTTTGTTCAGCCAACGCTTGGCTTGGGCGCTCCAGTTTCCACGCACAGCCATCCAAGCCTCTATCTGCCGTAGATTCAATTCAATTCTAAACTTTGTATTGTACCACCTGCAGATTGAGTGCTGGCTGAGAGTGAGGAGCGACTGGAGCAATCCATGGCAGGATAAAACAAAATGGAATCTTTAGGAGCCTGATTTTCCCTCGAAAAATTTGGAGATAGCTACATGTATTGCTTTTCAAGGGGGTGTCTGTGAATGTGTTGGGGAGCTTGCTGGTCCTCTGAAAGTATTAGCTAGCTGGATCAGGCTTGCTACGACTAGTTGTACAACAACTGTTGATATGAAGCTATGTAGTGTCAATGACAAGGCTGCACTTGAGCTAGCCTCGGTGATCCACTTCAAGTTTCAACGTCTCAGTTCCTTCGATGGCCAGCGTTTCAACGAATGTGTGCGGAAGAGCAGAAGCACACACGCCATGCATTCTTTTTGAAGAGGGACACACACGCAACATGTACGATGGTGAAATTTTCATAAAAAGCCGCCTTGTGTGACGAGTGTCAGAAGCATCGCCAACCACAAAGATTCTGTTTAAAAAGTATGGTAGCAGCAAAGAGAGAGCAAGATGGATGGAATTCAACTCGATCTGCTTGCCCCCATCGCAGCATTCCTCTCAGTTCCAGATCAAGTCTCCCTTGGATGCACGTGCAGAGATTTGGAGACAAAGGTCCGGTTTGTCATCGCAACGCAGCTACGAGACGCGAGAGCATGTTTGGATCAATGGAAAGCGGAGAATGCCGTCACAATAACTCTAAACAGCTCAGACTTTGAAGATTTGAACGTTTTTGCTAGAGAGGCAATGTCAATCGAGGCAGAAAGGACTATCATGGAACTGCAATACCTCGCGTTGAAAGTGACAACTGCAGCTTTGGCCACGTCGGGTGCTGATCTCCTCGACTCGTGTTGCCATGAGCTTGCCAAATCCTGCCAAGGTGGAGGGATCTTTGTCACCAGTCTTCACTTTGCAGCTGGCAACGGTGACGCTGACCTGTGCCGCCTCCTTTTGACTCGAGGTGCCTCTGTCAATCCAAACATTTTCATCCCGAACGATCTGAGTAGCTTGGACCAAACGGAAGAAACCAGCAATAGAGACGACGGCGCCTATGCAAGCCAGTATCGTTGGGGCTTTATAACCCCCATGAGACTGGCCATGACCTTTGGTCACGCTGATGTTGTCGAGTTACTAAGGGGGCATGGAGGCATTGCTTGTGAAACGGTTCAAGTCCCTTGCAAAGAAATCTCGTGGAAACTTGGGTTTCAGTGCTTTTGCCAGGATCGTCTTGATGATGAACTTCCGCCTCTCCCAGATGGAGCTTGTTGGACGAGGCAAGGAAATGAGGAAGAGTTGTACTACAAGAACACTCGCTCAGATCAGCTTGACGGCACAAACCACGTGTTGTTTACCGCGGACATGCAACAAACGGTCATCCATTTGGCGCACTGCCAAGAGTATGGAGGAGAGCATCCCAGCTGTGCTATTCAGTGAAGCCCTTTACAACAGAAACCTCCCATTGACCTTTTTTACCACAGTCCAGAAGAGCAGGTTCACTAACTTTTTCTGAATCGGTCGTCCTCCCTTTTTGCACTTCGATCAGCAGTGGAACGATTTATAGATCTTTGATTGGGGCTTTTTCAACGCCTTCTTTAAACTCTTGGCCTAGTCACCAAGGAGAAAGACATGTTGGGTCGCACAGTAGTTCAAAAATATTGAGGATAGTTCATCGTAGGATCCCCTCAAAGATGCCTACCATATTGGATACACCCACACCTCTGACGCCTTGTGGGCAGTGCATTGAAACACATGATTACCGTCTTCAATCTGCCCATACTTGCCATCCTTCGTGTTCCCGAGCTCTTTCACTTGCTGCATGCTTCCCGAAGCCAAAACCAACGGCACTTATCGGACGACAGTATGCCAGGCAACCAACTGGTAATGATCCCTCTCTTTTCTTTGCTTTTAGTGTTAGTTTCTATATCGAAAGAAAGAAAACGAATGAGATGCATGAGGTACCGGTAAGGAAAGCAATACAATCACGGCGACAAGCGGGAACATCCAAGCAGCTCTTACCTTCCAGTCCTCTTTACTGCAATCAACTTTTGATAGTTCCGTGATTTCATTCTGGGGCTCCGAAAAGTCGAGTTCACATTCCCTGCATCGACCTTTTGTGTCCACTTTTCCGCTCGCCGCCGAGCTTGATATGCCGCCTTCTCATCATCACTAACACCATAACCATCCAAAAGAGATCCCATTGCCGCTGTCGGTGCTTTGTTGACTAGCGCTTTGTTGGCTGCATTATCTTCTATTTCTTTGGATCCTGCATCTTCTTCGTCATTTGTCGGCCGTCTGGTCCTGACCTTTGTCAGCTTCTTCATCTGACCCCGCTGATTCACCATTGCCCTTGGATGTCTTGTCATTGGCATCTTCCATATGTTCATCCTTGTTGTCCACTGCCCCGGTCGGTGGTTTGTCAACAGTTACTGCAGTATCCTCCGTTTCTTCTTAGACTAGTCATCGTCGGCGGTCTTGCTCTGATCCTAATCCTGGTCCTTGGCCGATTCTTCCTTTTCGGACTCCGTGTCCTTCGCCCCTTCAACGAGATCGCCATCATCGTCGGCGGTCTTGCTCTGATCTTCATCCTGGTCCTTGGCCGATGCTTCCTTTTCGGACTCCCCTTCGCCTGTTCAACGAGATCGCCATCCATCTTCTCGGGGTTGTCAACTACCATATCTTCACGGTCGGCGTCTTCCACAGCAGACTCCAGACCGCCAACTCTTGGGGGTGATGCTGCCTTCTTTCCGTCGTCTTGATCGGCGTCCTTATCCTATTGTTCGACATCTCTTGTGCCACCAGCCGTTGCCAGAGCTTCATCATCCTTGTCGTCATCATCAGAGGCCGATGCCTTCTCACCTTCTTGTTCGTCATTGTCGTTGGATGTCTTGTCATTGGCATCTTCCATGTCATCGTCGTCATTGTCCATTGCCGGTGGTTTGTCGACAGCTGCATCTTCTTCATCATCGTCTTGTTCGTCATCGTCGTTGGATGTCTTGTCATTGGCATCGTCCATGTCTTCGTCGTCATTGTCCATTGCTGGTGGTTTGTCGACAGCTGCATCTTCTTCGTCATCGTTGTTTGAAGGTCTTGCCATTGGCATCGTCCATATCTTCGTCGTCAGTGTTCATTGCCGGTGGTTTGTCGACAGCTGCATCTTCTTCGCCATCCGTCTTCTCCAGGTTTGCTGCTGTCCTTGGCCAATTCTGACTTTTCGAACGCTTCCAAACCGACTGATCAATCAAATCAGCCCTTGTGCACTTTTTCCTTTCGCCCTTGGATACACTAGCTAGCACTAGATCGCTCTGTCTTTCTGTGCACCATGCCGTACACTGCTACTAGGGCCTTTCGATCTGTCCTCTATGGCTTTCGTGCCTCCTCTGCTGTCCGCGTCGACCCCCTATCACTCTTGGTCGCCCAGCATTGGCCCGGATTGACCCTGCTGATTCGATTCGATTCTTTCCATGCTCCCACCTTACTCCCTGATCCTGTCATTCAAGACCACAGGTGAGCTCCTCGTTCGCAGCTTTTGACATTTCTGCTTCTGGCCTCTTTGGCCCTGAAGCTACTGCTGTTCTTCATCAATGGCTATCAAGATTTTGGCTCAGAAGTGGTCCAAGCCCTACTTGCTCCCATTCATTCTTCCTTTTTTGCCGTCGGCTTGCATGTGGGGCATGTGTCCCTCCTGTCATTCATTGCCAAGAACCACCGTCGTTTGGGCGGGGCCATCATTAATTAAGACGCTTTCCACAAGGACGCACAGAGATGAGAGACATGCATCTTTGATGTACCGTATGTTTCCAATGCTCGTGGAGCCTTAAAGCACCCAGGAGCAGCAGGAAAATCTTCTGTTGCCACCTTGCACAAAGGGCAGAGACAAAGCCTAATGCCATTCTCAGATGACCGGAGACGAGTCGCGTCATGTAAAACGATGATCATTGACTGGCTGGCCAATGCCAAAAGATCCACACCATGCTGATACAGTAATCCATAATAGCCATTCGTTCATTGATCAGTGGAAGTCTTCGTGTCGTCACGTTGTGGATGAGCCAATCCGTTGATCCAATCAAGTCAGCGTCGATCGATCCGATCTCAGTGCTTTGTCGAGGAATATAGTGGCGTCTCTCCGTGGAAGAGAAAGCGATCATCATGTCCACCGTTGAAGAGGGGGGAGACGTCTGGCAAAGAGGTTGGGTTGAAGAGTAGCCATTCCTAAGAAGTGAACATCTTTGCGTCGTTTGCGTCCAGCTTATCATGTGGAGACTTCTTCAAAATGAGTAGCCTCCTTCCGTTGCTGAGATGTTGAGAGGAGTAGCAGCAGTAAAGGAGGTAACATACATCATCTTGATCGGTGGAAGCATGCAGAAGTGTCGATCCATCGCTGCAGCTGCTTCCAGCCTGCCGGTATCCAAACAAGAGGAGCCTGTCATGGTGGAGTATGGTAGCCTTTGTACGCGAGGAATGGCCACTGCAGACGACGTTTTAGCATGGGGAAACGAAGTTTGTTTTGAGTGTTGTTTGTATCAATGGGAAGTTACTATGGATTAGAGAGAGCTAATAAGATGAGGATGGGGACAGAGTGTAGTTGTAATAATAATAAAAATAAAAAAATAAATAACTATAAAGGGGATTACGTGAAAGGAACGGTACTAGGTAACGTCCGCTTGTAAAAAGTATGGGAAGGGATCAAGGGGTTCTGGGCGTGAAGTAGGCATATATGGACCGGCAAGGACTGAGGACGGGGATGAACCGGAGGAATAGAGGGATCGAGCTTGGCATGTAATAGCGCGTTGAAAGTGTTGTGCTAAGTGGGTAGATAGATTGAGGGCAAGGGATTGGTGTGCCCAGCGTGAAGGTGTGTAGGGTTGGGTGTCAATGGAGTAGTTGGTGGGGGTGACAAAGTGGTATCAGCAGTGGGGAGAATGGCGGTTGGGGCTGAAAGGAGTTGGCTGTAGAGCGTTGGGAGTGGGGGGAGCTTGGCAGACCAGGGGGTGCTGGGAGGGGGGATGGTGGCGAGTGGAGCCGTAGAGAAGGGCATGGGCGAAGGGTCCCAGTCCAAGAAATGGGTCCACTGTGAAGGGGAGCAGGATGATGCCTGCATTTTGGAGAGCAGAAAAGTATTGTATGTTGTTTGTGAGGAAATGGGAAAGTTGTGCTGTGGTTGCTTGAGGTGACACCGTTGGTTACACGTGGAAGCAGTTGAGGTGTCTTCGTAGGGATAGGGCAAGCGTCTGGCCGTAGTTAAAACGTTAGCGTTAGGGTTCATCATTTTGCCGCCTGAACGCGTGGCTGCTCACTTTTTCGGTTCGTTGAGCTCAAAGCGACCTCCATTGGAGGAGTTCATTCTCTTGTCTTTGTACACCAACAACAGTTGATGTACAAAGCCTTCGTTTTCCTACCTCTGCCTCATCGCTACCAGACATCTCGTCCCGTTCCGCCTTTTGCTTCTTCATCTTTGTCGCGACCCTTTCTTCCGTCTTTCTTCCCATGACCGACAACGATCCTCTTCTTTCTCCGACGGCTGCCATCGCCCAGCCCCTTCTTCTTCAGGGTCTCCTAGGGCCCCGGCTTGTCCATACTCAAGATCTTCCCACTTCCATCCTTCCCCGATCCAACTCCTGGAATGATCCTGCTATCATGCAATCCGACTCCACTTCGGCTATCGCCGCTTCCCGCTTCCGCTCCACCCTCCAGGATTCCCAACTTCATGGCCTCTCTGCCAAATACACTGCTCCTTCCAACCTCTCGGACTCCTTCTCCGACCTTCTCGCGAAATCCATTCACAGCGGACCCCACACTCATGCCTGGTCTCGCACTGAAGCCTACAATCTCATGCCCCACCGTGACATTGGAGGCTTCCTCATCATCGCCAAGTTCCGCCTTGCCGACGGCTCTCTTTCAGCCCCCCTCTTCTGCATCACGGGACCCCCCGTTGTGGCTCCGCCCACTTCCATTGGCTCTTCCAACAGCCTCTTCCCGTCGGCTTCCATGCCGCCTGATACTCAACTGGCCACTCAAGTGCCCTTTCCACCCCACGTTCAGCCCATGGCCCTCCCGTTCGCCACTCAATCTCGCTCCACCATCGCTTCCTTAGCCACCTCCTCGTCTCCTGACTCCATCATCGACGACCTACCCATTGGGGTCATCCCAGACGCCTGCAACATCTTCGAATTAGTCCCAATCCACAACTCCGTCATGAACGTCATGCAAGACCTCCCCGAGACGCATCCGTTCATTGCCAACAACATCTGGATTCCCGACATCATCCCCGATGATTCTTCTCAGGCATCCACGCCCAACTTAGAACTCATCACCACTCTCCGCGAAGGAGCTGTACCACCATGTCCTCTCGTAGCACCCTTGCCTTGGCCCAAACCAGCTCCACCTGGCTCAACCACCACTATTCCTCTAGCGAACGCCAACTCCCAGCCATCATTCGCGACCCAAATCTACCTCAAACCCATGGAGTCCAACAGCTCCCCTGACATCTCCCATGGAATCATCTTTGCCCCCAATAGTTGATCTTGTTACCAAGCCAGTGCCATGTGTTGTGGCCCTCTGGTTTCCATGACACCCGTCGATGTGCCAAATCGGGTTCGCAGTGGCTCGTCACTTCCTTACCTTCTTCTACCAATGCTCCAATGTCGACCGATGGGCCGCGGATGCCTGGGATGGGAAGTACTTCCGATATGTAGGCTCCATTCCCTCCCGCCACTGGCCTCCCCATTGGTTTAGTCGCGGACATCACCAACATCTCTCTCATCCAGCTTACCGCCGCTATAGCCCATCTTGCCTATGAGGATGACACCAAACAAATCGAGTGGCTCTTGAACCCCATCACCGAGCTATGGTACCAAGCCGCTCAAGATTCTCCCAACATTGCGACAATACCATTGTGTATTGATTAATTTAAAGATCTAAGAGATGTAAAGTTTGTATTTCCAAATAAGTGAGCAGTTATTGATTATTTTCTAGAATAAGCCTGCAATTTGTGAAGCTGAATTGTAAGCTGTATCCCGTCGCACTCCCTTACAGCTGAAATGAAGCTGTAGCAAGAAACGATAGGAGAGGGTCCCTAGCAACGTGCTGAGGTAGATTACCATCCCATGAGGAGCTTCCGAATGACAGCAAACTGTGGAGCGGGCAGACCCTTAGTGAAGATGTCGGCCCGTTGTTCCAGAGTTGGAATGTACTTGGCCACGATGCCTTTCGATTCCCTGATATTCGACCTAAAGAAGTGGTACTTCAATGCCAAATACTTGTTGCGTGCTGACATCTTGGGAACATTCACAAGAGACAGGCAACCTTGGTTGTCTTCGAACACTGTAGAGCGCACAAGACTGTCAGTAATCACAGGCATATGTAGTTTGGTACCAATTTCCTTGAGCCGAGCGCAGACAAGCTGCGCTCGCCCAGAGCAGCTAGACACAACTAGTAGAGGATTAGGTGAGTGGAGAACTCGCCATTTACTGAGCCGACCGTCTCCAGTCCCCGGGGTACCATTCGGGACTGGGGAGTCCCGGATGGATCCCACACGGCAAAAGGGAGTCCCGGGAATGTGATGTTCACGGGACAGCCTTGAGTCGTGCAACCCAAAAGCCAAAGGCAGAACAGGGAGGGAGCGTAGCGGGGTGGAGAAGCCGTTACCCCCTGTCCAGGTGGAGGCGAGGACAGGGGGCCGAGGACTAGGGGTAGGTTAGTCCTCGTAGAGTTCTTCGTGGAGAAGAATCTCGTTGCAGTGTTGGGGCGCTTGTGCCGGGAGGAGGTGGCGATCGTAGGTGCCTCCCGGGAAGTTGTATGCCCCATGGTCCAACATCTGTTGGGAGTAGTGGTGGGTGGCGGCAGCGGCTTGGATGCGCAGGTAGCGGAGCATGGCGTCGGACTTCCAGCGGCCGAGAAGGCGGATGGCATCCGAGTCCACATGGGCGCAGAGAAGGGCGGTGGCACCACCAGGACGGAGGGAGCGGGCAGAGACCTTGTCAGGGTTGATGCCGGTGTCGTGGGAGATGAGGGCCGCAGCGTGGCGGAGGGCGTTGGTGATGAACTGGGGCTTCACAGGATACCACCGGTTGCGGGCCGCATTGAAGTGGTTGAAGAGGGGAGTATCGGCGTCGGCGCCGTTGGTACGGAGGTGGTAGACCACACGCGCGAGGGACTTCACCGGGCAAAGCCACGGATCAGAGGTCGGGCGGTGGCCCACGGACTCGCCGCGGACAGCATTCTTTTGGTCAGTGAACGTAAACGTGGCATCGGTGAGGCACGCGTGGTTTTTCACGTCATTCAAAGAGATGGTGTCACCGCGGACTTGGAGGCCGCCGCGGACAGTGAAGGAGACATCACAGAGGCGAAAGGCTTGGCTTCGGGATTCAAGGTTCCCGGTGTCCAGGTACTCCGCAGGGCGTAGGAGCCAGAAGAAGGCCAGGATGCAGAGGTCTCGGACGTGGCGGTTGAGGGTCCCCCAAGTGGCGTCGTCGTAGTCCAGGGCATCGAGCATAGCTCGGAGGATGGAGAGGTTGACTGGGTAGGCGCGGTCAGGGGGTCCATCTTCATCTCTGAGTCCTTTGAGGAAAGCAGCGAGTATTGGATGGTTGTGGTCGGATCCAGCCTTGAGCTTTCGGGGATCCGGGTGACCCAGGTCGGTGATCCCCTTCCCGACGGCAAGAAGGGCCTTGTCCACTGAGTCAGCTCGGACATTGTTAGACTCGCGGTAACGGTTTCCGAAGACAAGGAGGTAGCAGGCTTGGACCTCTTGGTCAGGGATATCACAGAGGGATGGGTTGACGCCGAGGCCTGCGCAGAAGTCACACCATCGTCCGAAGGTCCGGTCCCGGGCGGCGGCCGTCTTGGAGACAATGTTTTTGGAAGCGGTCTGCAGCGCAAGGCGGAGATCAACTGTGAACTGACCTCGGGTGGCAGAGTCAACACCTGCCAGGGTCTGTTCTGCGGATAGCGCTGTTCAAAGTGGGCGAGAAGGTCAGGCAGGGTGAGGTGTTGCAGGCGCGACGCATCATCAGCCATCACGTTGGCAGGACCCGGGATGTAGGACGAGAGGGCGCAGTAGCGGTGCTCCCGCTGGTGGCGGCAGGCGTAGTTGCACAGGAACGCCGCAGGACCATCGGAGGTGACCGCCCCTTTGGAGACTCGGGAGACGGCCGGGGTGTTGTCCGAGAGAGTGTAGAGGGTGGCGTAGGTGACGCAGTGCCGCGCCGCTTGCAAGGAGTGTTGCGCAAGGATGGCCGCCTGCTCGAGGTCACTGTTGGTCACGGTCCCCGTCGGGTTGTCCGTGGACACGAGCTGAGCCTGCACATCGGGAGGGAATGGGAGCCTCCAGAGGTAAGGAGTTTCCTCAGAGTCAAAGTAGACACCGCCCATTCCAGCCTTGGCGGCGTCGGTGGCTCCGAAGAAGGATGGGTCCTGGGGGACGATCTCAGCCAGGTGAGTTGGGCGGTGGCAGAGGCTGGCAGCCAGATCAGCGAAGGCATCGATGTGGGATCTCAATGCGGTGTTGATCCGGATTCTTCCTCCTTTGGACTTCGTGAGGGCGAGCTGGAGCGCACTGAAGAGTCCAGCGGAACCCCGGATGGCAACAGAGACGAAGCGCAGCTTGCCGAGGATTTGCATCCAACGCTTGTGGCTGACTCTGCGACACCCGGCTAATTCCTTGAAGATGTCAGTGAGCGCTTGCTTCCTGCGACAATACCATTGTGGATTGATTAATCTAACGATCTAAGAGATGTAAAGTTTGTATTTCCAAATAAGTGAGCAGTTATTGATTATTTTCTAGAATAGGCCCGCAATTTATAAAGCTGTAAAGCTGAATTGTAAGCTGAATCCCGTCGAAAGCACCGCATATTCTCCACTTGTCGGTTGGCCCACTGTTAGAGCCGGTCTTCTTCTTGCAGCTGCACATGGATGGAATCGAGAAAAGTTGATTTTACTTGCTTTCTGTCAGAGTCCTCAGCCTGCCGACAGCCATTGTACATGGAATTGCCTCAGTACTATCGACCCAAAGATTATGAAGGACAGGACTGTGTTTTGAAACTTGACAAGTCATCTATGGGCAGACGATTCACCCAAATTTTTATGAGCATCTATGTCGTGGGATGTCCAACTTGTTTCGAAACTCAGAGCAGACCTGTTTATTTATTCATAAGGAGCATCAACTCATGGTATTAAATTATTGTGATGACCAAATCTGGCTCAGTCCGGACAAGATCTGATTGAGTCCTATGTTGGACAGCTCCAAAGCTTGGATATGACTCACCATGGAAGAAAAGGGAGACATCTTTGGTTCTTGGTATAATTTTGAAAGACAGGGAGACAAGTGGAATTGACTCAAAAGGGGCTATCAACAAGGTTATGATACACTGGATGTCTGAAGCAGCTCTAAGCCTTCTCCCTGCTGCCACCGATCCTCTGGCGCTGACAAATGGTGCCCCTTTGAAGAAGAGTGGAGCTATCCAGTGCAGTTGGGATGCTTCTCTAATTGCATCCAACACTCGCATCAGGTGCAAGATTCAGCCACAACCCCAAGCACTCACACGCTCAAGCCATCAAACGTATCGTTCGATATTTAATTGGCACAAGTGACAAAGGCATTTGTTTTAGCCCTAAGCTTGATCAAGGGCTTGATGTTGGGTGATGCTGACTTCGCCGGGTTGTATGGATATGAGGATGATCAGGATCCTGTTTCGTCAAGTCTCGCACTGGTTTTGTCTTGACTTGTTTGGATGCCCTGTCATTGGTCCAGCAACTGCAGACTGACATTACTTTGAGCTCCACTGCTGCTGAGTATGTTGCCTTCAGCATGTCAATGAGGGAGCTGCTTCCTATGCGAGCTTGCTCAAAGAAATTGGTACAAAACTGAATATGCGTAATTACTGACAGTCTCGTGCGCTCTACAGTTTCGAAGACAACCAAGGTTGCTGTCTCTTGTGAATGTTCCCAAGATGTTGCGCGCAACAAGTATTTGGATTGAAGTACCACTTCTTAGGTCAATATCGGGAGTCGAAGGGCATCGTGGCCAAGTATATTCCGACTCTGGAACAAGGGCCGACATCTTCACTAAGGGTCTTCCGGCTCCACAGTTTGCTGTCATTCGGAAGCTCCTCATGGGATGGTAATCTACCTCAGCACTTTGCTGGGGACTCTCTCCTATCGTTTTCTTGCTCCAGTTCATTTTAGCTGTAAGGGAGTGCGACGGGATACAGCTTACAATTCAGCTTTACAGCTTTACAATTGCAGGCTTATTTAGAAAATATCAATAACTGCTCACTTATTTGGAAATACAAACTTTACATCTCTTAGATCCTTAGACTAGTCAATCACAATGTATTGTCGCACATCGATGTGGGATCTCAATGCGGTGTTGATCCGGATTCTTCCTCCTTGGACTTCGTGAGGGCGAGCTGAGCGCCTGAAGAGTCCACGGAACCCCGGATGGCAACAGAGACGAAGCGCAGCTTGCCGAGGATTTGCATCCAACGCTTGTGGCTGACTCTGCGACACCGGCTAATTCCTTG